GAACTACAAGAAGGAAGAAGTCCAAACTGAAACGGAGCAACTCAACTCTTTCCATCAGTTCTACTCTGAGCTATATTCTGACAATCATCCAACCATAGACACTCTCACTAAAAGAGCTCTCCTCGAAGAAGCCAACGCCCTATCCGAGGGATCTGCCCCTAATGAGTCACTGAACAGCCCATTTACATCGGATGAGCTGAACGCTGCGCTAAGGGAACTCAAATCGGGCAAAGCATCTTCTTTTGACCACATCAGCAACGAAATGCTCCGGGGTCTGAGCGTAAATATGAGGTCGCTCCTCCTCAAACTCTTCAACTTGTGCCTGGAGACAGGAGTCTACCTCTGGAGCTAAAGTGTGATCACACCAATTCACAAAAAAGGGTGCATCAGGAACCCTGACAACTATAGAGCAATAGCAGTCTGTAGCTGTATCGGAAAACTGCTCTCTACGATGCTGCTATCTCGGCTTGTTATTCACCGCCAAATCTCACATCCTGATCCACCCAACCAAGCAGGCTTTACCAAAGGAAGTCAATGCAATGACCATATATTTACGCTGATGTCCACCATAGAAAAATACAAGAAAGTCAAAAGTAAAATATATGCAGTATTCATTGATCTTCGCAAAGCTTTCGATCTAGTCTGCAGACAAGCTCTCATGTTCAAACTAGCCTGCTATGGTGTCAATGGTGGCTACTACGACATCATCAAAGACATGTACAGCAAATCAGAGGGTCATATCAAGATGAATGGTAAAATCAGTGAAGCATTCAAGATCCTTAAAGGAACTGAACAAGGACACCCACTTAGCCCTGAGTTTTTCAAAGTTTACTTTAAAAAGCTGTCTGACCTCCTTAACGAAGCTACTGCGAACTGTCCGACACTCGCTGGACTTTCAGTGACTCACCTAGCGTGGGCTGATGATCTAGTTATACTTGCCCTAGATCCTGAGTCTCTCCAAAAGTTGCTTACGATTATTGGGGACTACTGTAACGAATGGGGTCTGGAAATCAATATCTCCAAAACCAAATTCATGGTCTTCAATGGCAAAGGACCAAACATTCCAAATTGGCGCCCTTCCATTCACGAAAGAGATATCGAGATGGTCTCCAGCTACTGCTATCTTGGGATTATTATAAGCAACACAGGGAAATTTCGGCAAGCAACTGACTCTCTATACCGTAAAGGACTTGGAGCTTACTTCAGCTTGAGAAGCACTATAGACCGGAGATTCGTTGATGCATCCTGCCTTAACAAATTATTTAAGGCCAGAGGGGGGGGGTAAGGGGTCAAAAAATTCTACCAAAATATTATTTTCTAAATCGATTTAATTTTTGATGACAAAAACATTGCTGCTATTCACATATTTGTAGCTGATTAACTTTATTTTATAATTGAGGTTAACCGATTTTCACAAAATTGACTATACAACATTGAGGTTAATAAAATTGAGGTTCATATTTTATTACACTTCATAATTTTTTGTTATTTCGGTCAGCAAATGTAAACTCTAAATTTTAGGTTCATAATTATCAGAAAAAGTAATATCCAAACGTGATTAAATGAGGTTAACCTCTTCTTTTAGATATAGCGAGAATAGATCAAATGATAGAGTTATTATTTTCATCGTAAGTTTACGGTATACAAATTTCTTAATAGATGACGTGTTGATTGACTTTCTTTTATCTTGAGAAAATGAAAAAAATGAGGTTAACCATCACATTTTGGTACCGTAGGGAATATACATACGATTCTTACTTATGTAATGTACCACAATATCGAAGTGAGGTATCTATTGGTATCACAATGCCTACAACTATAATCACGTGACAAAGGTGATTTGAACTGACCATATTTTAGTAGAAGGTTTTACCCGTAAATGGCTAAAAAATGAGGTTAACCTCTCATTTTTTGAATATCTGACCAGTCAATTACATGTTAACCTCAAAAACTTAATCGTTATACTGTGCAAATGTTTTACTACATATATAATAACGTATTGATAAACCAATCCCACTGTTATATGGTCTAAAGCGAGGTTAACAACCAAATTTTAAGCAGTTAGTGTTTACAGGAAGTCTTGGTTAACCTCATTTTTTACAATACAAGGACATTAATTACTGAAAGTGGCTAAAATCATTTAGGGGACGGCCAGGTCTGATCAAGCAAACATTATTAAGTGTATAAAAAGTCCTAACTAACGAACTGTGATACATTCCAGTGAATATTCAAAATTTAGAAAACACTAAATTTCATCTATCTCAAAACACATTTTTTGACCTTTCGATTCCTTAGTTGAGAAAACCGGCCACTCCCTGATATTGAGATTTGGTACAGTGGTTCCTTGGACAACTATCTAGATATCTGGTGCAGCGATTTTTTTTATTTGACTCAGTTCTCGAATTATGAGGTTAACCAATTAAATTTTTCGAATTTTTGACCTGGTTAACCTCATAATTCGAGAACAGAGTCAAATAAAAAAAATCGCTGCACCAGATGTGAGGATAATTGTCCAAGGAACCACTGTACCAAACCTCAAGATCAGGGATTGGCCGGTTTTCTCAACTAAGAAATCGAAAGGTCAAAAAAGTTACAGCCGTTTAAAGTTCCAGTTTAACATGTAATTACAGGTAAACCTCAAAATTGAGCGCGCGATATCTCAGAAGCGCAAGGTCAGATTTTGATCCGATTTTTTTCTTTTTGTTCGTCTCCAGTAGCTATTATCAAATATGTAAAAACTACAAAAGTGCCATTTACCCCCCCCTCTGGCCTTAACACCCTTGTTAAGCCAATTCTACTTTACGGCTGTCAAGTTTGGGCCCCGGTTCTACCCACCGTCAATAAGGTCCTCTCTAGCTTCAGCAAGTTTCACAATCTTGATCATGCGGTCTCTCACATCGCTAAACAGCAACTTGAGCAAGTGCATCTACGACACCTAAAATACCTTCTCGGTATAAACAGAAGGGCAGTCAATGCTACAGCCTGGGGAGAAACTGGCTCATACCCAATCATTATTGAAATGTTGAAACTGAGTACTAAATATTTCAAAAGAGTTATGAGCCTCCCCTCTACACAACTAGTCAAAGCTGCAATGACTGAGCAGATTAACCTCAAATTGTCATGGTTTGTAGGCATCGAATCAATCATCAAATCATTCAACAACATCGACCTTCTTGAAAGGAATTCATCGTCGCTGTTGAACGCAACCTCACTCGCAGACTCCTGCAGCCCTGAATTAATCACAGAGAACCTGAAAAAACAGTTCCGCGATTCCTGGGGTTCTCTTGTGAAAGATTCTAAAAAGCTATCATTCTACAGTGAAGTCAAAACAGAATTTGCATGGGAGCCATATCTAACCTATGCTAGGTCTTTTCAGGACAGAAGGGCAACCACACAGATTTTGTCCAGTTCTCATCACCTTAGAATTGAAAGGGGGAGATATGACAAAACTCCAATTGATGAAAGGACCTGCAACTATTGCGAGCTTAACACCAACCAGCTATTCATCGAGGACGAGAATCATATGCTCCATTTCTGCCCCCTAGGGAAAGGTCCTAGGGACAAATTTCAAAATCTCAGTGGAAACCTACTCAACAATGTTGGTAATGGTAGCTTCAATCTTGCCTCCACGTTCATGTCGCAGTCTGATTGCAAGGATACTCCCAGTGATGAGGACGTAAGTTTGATCAAACTCTCAACCAGCACCATTAACAAGATCTACAGACTAACCCTCAACTTCAAAGACAGTCTGAAAGCAGATAATTAGTTTCCTTTCTCAGTTTTCTTTTTTTGTATTCTTCCTTCTTTTTTCCTCTCCTCCCTTTTTATCTCCCAGCTTTGAATCTGTGATGGATGTGATGGAAGGCTTGCGTGCACTTTTATCCCTACATGGGCTCCCGGCCGTGCGTCCATGTAGGAGCTGTGGGGCCTTCCGAGTGATAGGGTTACAGTGACTGCTAGTAGAGAAAATATGAAGGTTCCACCAGTAGACATAAGTATCGAAAGCAGGGCATTGGCTCGACCTCCGAGGCGGGGTATCCGTGAGGACCCTGGTCGTAATCAGCTCTGCACTGTTTCAGTGTATCCTGATGCCTGAAATCTCGGACACTGCCTACGTACGGGGTAGGCAGCCACGGATGATTTTGTCTGTGAGCTTTTCATCACTTCCTGACATGAGCCAGACCTCAGCTGGATCCTTCCTTTTCCTTTTTCTTTACTTCCCGTTCAGTCTACCTCTTCATCATCAGTTTGAGTTGCTTCGCCTTGCATTCGAACTTTGCCTCCACAGCTCACCACGGCACCTCTTTTGGATGCCTCCTACCGGGCAACACTAGCTCTCAGACACTGGCTAACTTACCGCGCACGGCTTAGTTCTGTGTCTTTTCTGTGGCCGTGTATTCCGTTTTATGCCACCCTCTCTGCCGTTCTCGCGCTTGCGCTCACCCACTCATCAGTGGGCTGTTCATTTGACAGAGTTACTGGCTGGCACTCCCATCATCTTCTCACTCACCATCACTGCCCAATCAAATTTATGCAATCAAAATCACTATACACCCATAATCATATGATCAAAACACAAAGCTTTGAAATATACTTTTTTCTGTTTGAGATTTGAATAACGTTACTGTAATGTTCCAAATTATATTTTAAATGTTCAAAAAAAATGTATAATCCTTCCAGGGGTTTCTTGTACGGATTGTAAGAAATCTTCAGTAAAAAAATCAGCCAAAAGACTTTTAAAATGACCGAAATCTCGGTACTACAGTGACAGACTTCTCAAAATTTCCAAAACTTTCGAAAAAGAGAATATTTATTTTTTTGAAAGTGCATGCTCTCAAAAATAATTTTTAATGTACCAAATCTTATTGTTTTTATGTATACTTTCTTAATATGAAGTTAACAACAGGGCGTGGCCACGGCATAAAAGCTTTTGGTGTATGTCCCCTTAAGGCTTAGCTTGTGTAAAAATGCAAAAGAAGTATTTAACTTGTTTCACTTTAGACATGGAATCTGACAATGAAGAAGGGGGTCCAGAACTATCAAAGAAAGAGACAAAAGTTAGTGTTCTAATTTATAGTATTTCCCTCTATCTTTTTCTCTGGAATGAAAAGTTTATTTGTTTTAGGTCGGTTAATCATTTTCTGAGCTAGTTAGGTAGCTCATTCAAAATATAACTCATAATATCTAACAGATCACTTCTCGTTGACTGACAATGTTGACTGCTCTATTTTACAAAACTGCTATATTTAACGAAAAGGAAGTGCTTCCCATCACAGAAACCAAATTCTTTGTTTCAGCTGATTCAGCAAGTTATATCAGAGCTCTCAGATGAGCCTGGTACAATTACCAACGGTGAACAGCTATTTTCTATATTTACTAGATATCAGGTACATCTCTGATACTCTGTAAATATTGAAATTGTTTTTTAGGTTTAAAGAAATTGATTTTAAACTAATGAACTTGTTATTTAAACTTTAATTGTGAAGTAATTGACGCACCACAATTGGGCTTCTGTCTACATTTTTCATGGAAGTAAAATAATCATTCAAACCATCATGTTCAAGTACAGCGAATAATAGAATTATTTATTACCATACTCATTATCTTGTTTGCCTGGAATGGTAATAATGTTAGTATTAAATTAATCCTATTTAAATAAATTAAACGAATTTAGAATTCTCACAGGTTCAACCCGAAAAGCAGCTCAAGATGATGTATGCTGTTGCATTTGAGTTGAGTGAATTATCTGAGAAATGTGAAGGAGAGATGTCACAACATTATCTGCGCCTGTCTACACTTGCTACTGTTGCTGTTCAAGAAAAATTTGGTCAAGTCAAGCAACAGGTTAACGATTGTTTCAAAATATGACTTTTTACAAGTCTAGCTGTTAAATTTCCTTGATCTTTGAAATTGTGATTTTCTTTATTTGAACTAATACCTAATAAACCTTTATTTCAATTCATGTTTGTAATGAAATATTCATTTTGCCGCTCTAGTATCAAGGATTTGCATTTACAAACACAATCTAACACAGTAGTTCATTGACTAAACATAACTACCCACTACCACTAGGATTCGTCCTCGAGGAGGGGAAGACAAGCAAAAGATAATGCTAAGATCAATATGACATCCTATTTTGACCTGGAGACGACATTGTTGAATGAATCTAGTGATGAGGATACTTCGAAGAAAAAGAAGAAACGAAAAAAGGAGGATAAAGTCGTGAGTCCTCATCTCTTTTTTTTTACTGCATGTTTTTTAGTTATGATAATGAATATTACTTTCTTATGCAGGTCATGATAAGAATGATTGTTAACAGGCCATATAAGAATTCAACTATAAATAATTCTAACCTCGGACCTTAATGAAGCCTTTATATAGGAATGGTCGGATTCTGAACTTAAGGAAACTGAGCCTGCGCCAAGATCACCTAAGCACGTGGAGGCAGTAAAGGATTCCGATGAGGAGGAGGAGGAGACAAAGCCTGCACTAAAGTAATATTTTAATTCTTAATTCATGAGCAATTTTTCTTTCCAGATGTCATTCTTGATTGTCTTCTGCCCGGAATATTCTTTTGACATCGTGAATTTTCAATCTAAGCAGAATCGATGAAATGGAAAACTTAGAAGCTAAGTTTTATTTTGTTCAGGTCTAAGCTGAGTACGTTCCAAGGGTCACGAATCAGTCAACGAAAGAGTATGCTCTATTTTGTATCATTAAACACGTCATATAATACAATGTTTAAATTGCTTTCAACTAAATCGTTTGTTATCCGTTTAAGTCGTAACCAATTTCGACCTCAGAACTGGTATTTTTGCAGAAGAGATAAAGGGCATTGTATACAATTTTAATTAACGTTGTTGCAGGGATGATCGATGTGGTTTGTATCGATTCTAGCTCCGACGAAGAACCGAAAAGTGCCTCAAAAGAAAAACCAGCAGCAAGCCCTAAAGTAAAGAGCAAGTCGACTGCACCTTTAAAGCCGAAACTAAAAGAAGCAACAAAAGCTGTGACAAAGAAGATTAAGAAGCCTGCTTTACAGTAAGTTTTCTGATTGAAACTATATTAGAATATACTGTGGAGGGGGGGGGGGGGGCCAAAAGTCAGTGTACATACGTTGGCCATAATAGCTCAGTCACCGAGTGCCCAATTGAAATAATTCTTTCTGGTATGACTTACTATCACCACTCATTCGAGAAATATGTCGAATCGAACAATATTCGTGTTCATTTTTTTCAAATGAAGGTTAATTTTTGCATTTATTTGATAATTTGGATAATCGGATCGAGCCAAATTTTATTGGATTGTGTTTGGCCATTTAAATTACGTTTGTCCTGAAAAAATGAGAGTTGTAGCTTCTCATATTATGATATTCTCTATGATTGAGATATAAAGCATAACGAGTTAATTCATTTCGTCTGATCAGGTGATTGGCTTACCTGATCACGTGATTAGCTAACCCCGTTAACCGACATCATCATTTAAACGGCAAACTATCATCAGAACTAGACCAAAAGCACCGCCATCAGTAGCAGTAAATGGGATCAAGAGACTACTGAGCGCTAGCGACAAGAGTGTAGCTGAAAAACCGACCATCCCTCCTAAAGTTGACAAGATTGTCGCAGATTCAAATGCTGAAGAACCTGCTCCCGTTACAGAGAAAGAAAAAACGGCAGTAAAACCGGTTGGTGTTGTAAAAGCAACGCCACGTAAAGTACCAGCTGATACGCAGCGGTCGATTAACAATGTTATTAAACTTGACGAGGTGAGACAGACCTGCTAATTTGTTAGTAAGCTCTCTTTGAAATTTCGATTCAATTATTGTTGTTTCTTACTGAAATATTATCAGCTTTTGTATTTTCAGCAGCTACATGATAGGTGGGTTATTACTTATTGGCATTGAATTAGGGAATAATAATAATACAAATTTGATATTATAACGTTCCCGTTATTTGCAGGCGCTGATACTTAACTTTAAGAAAGGGCACTACCCCACCTACATTTCCAGGCGCTGATACTTAACTTTAAGAAAGGGCACTACCCCACCTTGTATTTCCAGGCGCTGATACTTAACTTTAAGAAAGGGCACTACCCCACCTTGTATTTCCAGGCGCTGATACTTAACTTTAAGAAAGGGCACTACCCCACCTACATTTCCAGGCGCTGATACTTAACTTTAAGAAAGGGCACTATCCCACCTACATTTCCAGGCGCTGATACTTAACTTTAAGAAAGGGCACTACCCCACCTACATTTCCAGGCGCTGATACTTAACTTTAAGAAAGGGCACTACCCCACCTTGTATTTCCAGGCGCTGATACTTAACTTTAAGAAAGGGCACTACCCCACCTACATTTCCAGGCGCTGATACTTAACTTTAAGAAAGGGCACTACCCCACCTTGTATTTCCAGGCGCTGATACTTAACTTTAAGAAAGGGCACTACCCCACCTACATTTCCAGGCGCTGATACTTAACTTTAAGAAAGGGCACTATCCCACCTTGTATTTCCAGGCGCTGATACTTAACTTTAAGAAAGGGCACTATCCCACCTACATTTCCAGGCGCTGATACTTAACTTTAAGAAAGGGCACTACCCCACCTTGTATTTCCAGGCGCTGATACTTAACTTTAAGAAAGGGCACTATCCCACCTACATTTCCAGGCGCTGATACTTAACTTCAAGAAAGGGCACTACCCCACCTTGTATTTCCAGGCGCTGATACTTAACTTTAAGAAAGGGCACTACCCCACCTTGTATTTCCAGGCGCTGATACTTAACTTTAAGAAAGGGCACTACCCCACCTTCCAAACCTCTTACACTCACTTGGTGGTGTCACAGAAACCCAACAATGAGCTCTACACTGACACTGCTCCACAAGTCTCCACCATACTCGCTATGGACGGCCAGGTGTGTGTTCACACCACGTGTGTGTCACGTGTTCTTAGGACATGTGTGTCACGTGTTCCCAGTACGTGTGTGTCACGTGTGTGTCATGTTTTCTCAGCACGTGTGTACTGTGTGTCACGTGTTCTCAGCACGTGTGTGTCACTGTCACGTGTTTTTATCTATTGTTAATTTACATAGTGTCAATCTTTGAAATAAATTAAATTGACACTTTAATCATAACTCCGAAGGAGCAGGCAAAAAGGAAACATTTTACTCGACATGAATTTCACCAGGCCTACTTTTTAAATAGCCTAATAACGTGAAATCTAAAATTATAGGTGGTTTCTTCTGACGATCTGAAGAAGTATTCGTTAAAACAGTTCGTCCACAACGACTCTGGTCAGTTTCTTGTTGGAGAATTTGAAGATAACTTATACCTTCTCGTTGCAGGTACAGTGTTACCCAATCTGTTCGGGGGGGGGGGGGGGGGGGGGGGGGGATAAGCATTGTTACTGTAATGGTTACATGACTTCCTAACCGACAGTTCATAATCATTAATCCTTTAATCATCGATGTATTTGTCAAGATGTTTTAAAATTTATCCATTTTTAATCAAGCTTCTGTATTTTTCTCATCAGGTGTGATCAACAAAAACAAAGAAAAGACTTGAATTGGAGTGTTAACATGTAATGGTTACCCAAGTACATACCAAGACGAAGTTTTGAACCAATGTCGCAGCATTATAGAAGTTTTGACTGTTGAACTTGAAGAATTACTTTACAGAATTGTTAAGGGTCGTGGATAAGAATAGCGTTTTTGATAACCAAGTTTTAGTTTTAACTTATTGTTAAGGTTTTATTTCAGATTAACACAGCGTACTTATTTTTATGTTGATTTTTAAGATATATGGTTTGAGTTATAAGATTTAAACAATCATTTTGATATATCTATTTTTATTAAATAATTATCTTTTAACTACATGATTTACTGCAGATTTACTGCAGATTTACTGCAGCTGTATCATATACTTTTAATAATTGTTTTGCTGTCGTACACTGTATGTAGCCATATCTAGAGTTTTTATCCTCAGAAAAAAATTCTTTTCCTTCTTGTATCTCCAAAGTTTGATGATTCTGCTTCGATTGAAGCACCTGAATTTCACGATTGTCACTGATCTAACTGCTTATTTACGTTACATCTGAAAGTTCTAAATTCTAAAGGAATGTTGACTGGAGATTTTAACGAGACATGGCTGACTTCACCCCGAACTCTGGTGAACAGCACCTACCAGTCGCTCTGTAACAAACCTGACAGGTAATTTGTAGCTCAATTAACTTACTAATTAATTAATCGAATGAAAAACATCATCTAAAATGTCTTAATACTGCTACCCTGTTCACGATAAACTATTGCATTCAAGTTGGTTAACAAATTGACGTTTTCCTAGAGTGATTATTCATATTTCTGTTTTAATACTACAAACGGTAAACATTGTCAGTAACTGGGAGAAAGAGTTAGACAGCAAGTTCTCAACTCTGATATCTACCAGCCGAGATAATATCCCCTGGTTATCCAGTGATTCTCTCTCTGGTAGTCTTGTTAAACACTATGTCATGGTACAGGATATCATGGATCAGGAGTTTTATACCAAACAGTTCGTTGCAAGGTTAGAATCACAAACTCATAAGTCATATTTATTAGATTACGCAGGCAATCTAATAATTATATTGACTTTTTGGGCTTTTGGCGTTTAAACTAATCCAAATTTCTAACTTTCTCTGCATTCTCTAATCATCTACCAAGCTGCTGTTTAAATGTAGAAACTATCCTCAGAAATAAGGATAACAAGGAGTTCAGGGGAACTGGAAAATACTCTGATATTCTCGACATACAACAGGTTAAGTTAAAATAGTTTCTCAAAGTTCACAGTTTACACATAATAGTTGACGTATGATGTGGAAATGTCCAAAATTATTTTCGTTTTGTAAATAATGTATTGTACTTCGATATTCAGAAGTAAAGTTATGACCCGTCGAAAAATATTGATTTCATCATAAAATACACATAAAATTTCAAACACGCCAATAATTCTGACACCCTGCTGTACTAAAAGGTATATAAACTGCTTGATATTACAATGATATGTACATTGTAAATTGTAAATTGTACATTGTACATTGCATTGTACATTGTACATTATCTGTAAACAGTCACCATAACACCTGTTAAATCCCAGGGATATAATGTTGACTGGGAAGATGACAAATCACTAAAAAGGGACACCAGACTGGTATACTACTGTGTACCAGTGCCTGGCAGGAACTCTTGGACGCGTCCGTGTTCACGCCATGACGTCACAGCGCCATCACTTGACGTCTCAGCTCGATCACGTGACGTCCCAGCATTGTCACGTGACCTCACGACGCAGAACAATGTGGTACAGATGAGTACGGGTAAAAAGCGTGGAGCTGAGGAGGCTGATGGGATGGATACAACTGAGGATGAGGAAGCTAAGAAGGTTAAGAGCGATGGAGATGATGGTAAAGCAGTTGAAGAAAAAGATTCCTCGCCTTTTCAAGGTTTGTATCACAAGTTTTCATTTGTTATGATGTGAAGTTAAGGGTTTGATCTTTTGTCAAATTTTAAATAACTCTTTGCTTGATAAGCTGATTTTGGGTTGTTGTTCATCAGATGAAGATGATGAGTAAATTAATTTTCCAACGATGAGACATAAATCCGAGCAGGTTCCAACTATAAGCCTGCCAATTTAAATAATCCCAACAATAACATTCCTGAGCAGGCTTGAACATGGTTCTACCAACAGACTCTGGCGTATGCTGCATTCCTCTGATATACACGCAGGATACCTCGCCTTTCAAGATTAACGACATTCTTGAGATAACTGGTAATTTAAATATTATTCGTGAATATATGTAATTACTTTCATTTTACATCCTTCATCAATCATCATACGTATGAACAAGGATGTATAATAAAAGTGGTTCATACAAACCAATGAGCCTATGTATTTAAAATTTAGATAAAATTTATACTCTATGAATCCGAGAAAAAAGCGCTTAATTAAAATCTCCAGAAATATTAGGATATTCTCCCAATCAAGGGCTCTCAAACCCCAGGAATCCTGGAGCGAATAGAAATAGACACAACATCATGTGATATGGACGAGGAGGAGCGTGCTCGGTTTCCCCCCAGCTCCATAGTGCCTCGTGTACACTGTGTGGATGTGAGGCTCCGACAACACATCAACCCTCTACTGTCACGTGACCCTCTGGAGTTTGGGGAGCAGGAGGTGGTGGGAGTGTTGGGTAATGTTCTCTCAGTCAGGTAGAGTATAGGGAATATAGATTGTTACTGGCTTAGGATAGAGACTGTTATTGGTTTAAATCTTCAAGAGTTCAGAACTTTTGGCGTCGAAAAGTTTAATTTTAAAGAACTTTTTGTTTTGCCATTTTCGTTATTTATCACAGGAATACGTAGTGACATTTATTACGATATTAGCTTGATAAATAAATAAATAACAGATCAGAACTAGTAACGATGCTAAAGAAGTGCGTGTCAGGAGATCCCCTAGCAGCGGAGTACCTCCTTCTACATCTTCTATCTCACGTGTACGGCAGAAGGGATGAAGTTGTTACTCTCGGTTAGTTTTCAGCTGTGTAGCAGACACTACTGGTTAGAGGCATTGAAATATTCAACCATAGTAGAGCCTTGGAACTATTATTTCCCGTATTTGATTTTAATATTTTCAGGAAAGTTTGCTGTTAATTTGACAAAATGCCCGCCGAAAGAGACGAAGTTTGTGGAATGTTTGTCCACGCTGTTCAGCAACATATCTGAAAAGAGTTTCGTCCTACCTCTCACGATAACGAACTTTAACATTTCTACCATGTTACCAAAGAAGGATTACAATGCTAACAGGTTAAATTTTTATTAATTATTGTAGGATCATGTTATGTAATATTTTTAGCTTCTATTTAAAGTTTCTACCCGGAACTATGAATAGCGTAACTTGTGAATCACTGCAAGTTGCTTCATTTTCATTAGTCCTTTATTTCGCTGCACTTACCACATTGAGTCACTACTCACTACTCACTACTCACTACTCACAGGTTGAGATCAGGTCTACTGCAGCTGCCCAAAGGAATGCAGATAATTTTAGACGAGACAGTTCTGGAACCCGGCCAACTTAAACCAAATGGAATTGAGAACCTCAAATGTTTGGGAAATCTTATAACTTGGCAGAAACTAGCCTACGACTTTGGGTTCAGTTACAATATCGAGTTCGAGTGTGATGCTAAAGTTCTCATTCTAGGCGAGGTTAGTCCGAGTTTTCTTACCGTTTTTCAACAAACTCTAAGTAGCTGTAGGTGTCTAAGTGGATATATCCTGGAGGCTTGTCAACTTCTGCATTGGTGTTCGAACATCTTCCGATATTGAATGTTAACTTGATATGATGGCACTTCGTCAAAATACCACCATTATCTGTTGTTTTGCAGGGTAAGTCGCTGTTGCCAAGTGATGTGGTAGTTCCTCTGAAGTCAATGCAGGATAACACCAACTATGAGGAGATAATATCTGAGATACATTCTGATCAGGAAATGATGGACCGGTTTAGGAAGTACCTGACTGTTCTACGTCACATTGAGGTTTCATACCACTCGCTCAACTGTTGTTTTTAAGCTGTTTCCTTAAACTTTTGCCTAAGCGAGTTCCAGACATTTCTGAACCATTATGATTCCATCTGGAAATTGTATAAAATTGAAAATTATTCGCACTGTTTCAGTATGACCAAGTAAGTGAGGAACTACAGCAAAGGATAGAGCAGGACTTTGTTGCAGAGAGGAAATCTAACCCGAAGGAAGTTACTGGAGATACTTTACACCGGTCACTGGTAATAGCACGACTGTACGGTTTGAGTAGAGGTCACTTGAAGTTAGAAGAGGAGGACTGGAACAGTGCCAAGTCTTTAGAGAGAGATAGACTCAGTAGAATCGCTGCTTAGATTCTTCTTTTTTTATTCGGAGATAACCCGGAACAGAGGGGTTTTTATCTTTTGTTCAGGATTTTTACCTTTTTATCATTTTTAACTTTGGATAAGCTGTTGCTTTTCTGTTATTCATTTTAACTTATATGCATTTTATTTAAATTATTTAGAATCGGAAATGAAATATATTTATGAATTCAATGCTTCTCACAATAATTTGTATACTTATTGAGTTTCCAGTGTTCGGTGGGGGGTGGGGGGTATCCAATGGTAAAAAATAACCGATTTACCATAAAAATCATTCACCATTTCACACCATTTTAGTTTTTTTCTTCAAAATATCAAATTGAAATATTAAATGTGTTTTCTGGTACTATACGACAATACCAAGAGCTCAGTTCTGATGAACCTTACTCGCCATGTTGAACCCCATAAGTAACCAGTTTTGATGTACTTTTCTCACCGTGATCACAACATTTGTGATTTTCATTGGATAAGGCACGTTATCAATGCCAAATTCAATCACGATCGAATTTAAAATAATTGTAATTTATATATCTCTTATATTTCAATACCTCAGAATGTCTAAAGACTGTATAAAACAAGAGATCAAATCAGAGCAAGTGGAGAACCCAGAAAAGTCAAACGGTTTCCTCTGCCCAATGTGTGGAGCACATTACTTTTCAGAAGACTACTTTGTTGAGCACATCAAAGAACATAAAACAATATCAAATTGTTCAATAAGACAAGAACTTACATCTGAATCAGATAAACCATCTGTTTTTATCTGTCCAGTTTGTGCTCAACATGTTTACTCAGACACTCAGTTAATAGAACATGTAAAACAGCATCATAATCATAGCAGCCCAGAAGTACCTGACAACTTTGATACTTCAGATAACTTGACTGGAACAAATCCTCAGAGGACATTAGTTCTGTCTCCTAGTGGGAGTCCGCCTGTGAAACCATTTAGGTGTTCAAAGTGTACATTCAGTGCAGCATATTCGAGAACACTTATAAAACATCAAAAGATTCACTCTGGAGAGAAACCTTTAAAATGTTCAGAGTGTTCATATGCTACAAAACAAGCAGGTCATCTTACTAGACATATGAGAACTCACTCAGGTGAGAAACCCTTCAAGTGTTCTGAGTGTTCATTTGCTGCGAGACAAGCAGGTCATCTTACTGAACATATGACAATTCACTCAGGTGATAAACCCTTCAAGTGTTCTGAGTGTTCATATGCTGCAAGACAAGCTAGTATTCTTACTAGTCATATGAGAACTCACTCAGGTGAGAAACCCTTCAAATGTTCTGAGTGTTCATTTGCTGCAAAACAAGCAGTTTATCTTACTGTACATATGAGAACTCACTCAGGTGAGAAACCCTTCAAGTGTTCTGAGTGTTCATTTGCTGCAAGACAAGCAGGTCATCTTACTGAACATATGAGAATTCACTCAGGTGATAAACCCTTCAAGTGTTCTGAGTGTTCATATGCTGCAAGACAAGCAAGTAATCTTACTGTACATATGAGAACTCACTCAGGTGAGAAACCCTTCAAGTGTTCTGAGTGTTCATATGCTACAAAACGAGCAGGTGATCTTACTGTACATATGAGAACTCACTCAGGTGAGAAACCCTTCAAGTGTTCTGAGTGTTCATTCGCTGCAAGACGAGCAGGTGATCTTACTGTACATATGAGAACTCACTCAGGTGAGAAACCCTTCAAGTGTTCTGAGTGTTCATTTGCTGCAAGACAAGCAAGTAATCTTACTGTACATATGAGAATTCACTCAGGTGAGAAACCCTTCAAATGTTCAGAGTGTTCATATGCTACAAGACGAACAGGTAATCTTACTAGTCATATAATGAGAATTCATACTACTTCGTCAGAAATACAGAACTTATCACCGGACACTGTGGGTTAAACAAACACCTTCGTACCATCTGCAAATCTAACACCAGTGCATGTCCGATATGTGACCACGAAGAAAAGACCGTTTCGTATTTTCTAAGACTGCGCCTTTGTACCCATCTATTGCTCAACTTAGAGGGCAATATTTTCAGGATTATTACCTCCCTGTCAACGATATCTTCGACAACCATCAAATAACTACTCTTGTCAACTTTGCAACCTACACCAAGCGTCATTAGTAACATGCTTCGATTCCACTTTTATTATCTGGAGACTGGAAAAGTTTGAATAAGGATCAATGGGTAAATTATGAAATTGGAATATTCAAACCGGAAATAATGTGCATTTTTTAAGATAATTCATTATGATTCAAATTAGTGAAAAACGATGAAGATATAATACAAATATATATGTTGCATGCCATTACCTTCTCAAGCACTATCGCTATCATTAATAATTTTTCTTTTATTGAATGTATTGTGTTATCACTGTTCTTCTAGTAAGACTGAAGCATGTCACCGATAAAAATGTCAGACAAATGAACTACTCTATTTTGATATCTTTTAGCCCTAAAGTCTACATTTTCTGGTAGTGATGTTATAGTTTAAAATTGATTGCAATGAAATACTTTGAAGCTTTAGTGTCAAGTACTGCCTCCGATTGGTGTTCCTCAACCAACCAAAAATCAGTGATGTTCATTTAATGATAAGATAAGTTTATCTTTTGGTTTAACCGGGCAAATATTTGTGATTTTCATTGGATAAGGCACGTTATCAATGCCAAATTCCATCACGATCGAATTTAAAATAAATTTACTTTATAAATCTCTTATATTTCAATACCTCAGAATGTCTAAAGACTGTAAACAAGAGATCAAATCAGAGCAAGTGGAGAACCCAGAAAAGTCAAACAGTTTTCTCTGCCCAATGTGTGGAGCGCATTACTATTCAGAAGACTACTTTGTTGAGCACATCAAAGAACATAAAGCTAAAGCAATATCTAATTGTACAATAAAAGAAGAACTTACATCTGAATCAGATAAACCATCTGTTTTTATCTGTCCAGTTTGTGCTGATCATGTTTACTCAGACACTCAGTTTATAGAACATGTAAAACATCATCATGATCATAGCAGCCCAGAAGTACCTGACTACTTTGATACTTCTGATAACTTGACTGGAACAGATCCTCAGAGGACATTAGTTCTGTCTCCTAGTGAGAGTCCGCATGTGAGACCATTTAGGTGTTCACAGTGTACATTCAGTGCACCATATCCGAGTAAACTTTCAGTACATATGAGAACTCACTCAGGTGAGAAACCCTTCAAATGTTCAGAGTGTTCATTTGCTGCAAGTCAAGCAGGTAATCTTACTAGACATATGAGAACTCACTCCGAAGAGAAACCCTTCAAGTGTTCTGAGTGTTCATTTGCTACAAAACAAGCAAGTGATCTTACTAGACATATGAGAACTCACTCAGGTGAGAAACCCTTCAAGTGTTCTGAGTGTTCATATGCTGCAAGACGAGCAGGTCATCTTACTAAACATATAATGAGAATTCATACTACTTCGCCAGAAATACAGAACTTATCACCGGACACTGTGGGTTAAACAAACGCCTTCTTACCATCTGCAAATCTAACACCAGTGCATGTCCGATATGTGACCACGAAGAAAAGACCGTCTCGTATTTTCCAAGACAGTGTTCTCGTTCCCACTATTGCTCAACTTAGAGGGCAATATTTTCAGGATTATTACCTCCCTGTCAACGATATCTTCGACAACCATCAAATAACTACTCTTGTCAACTTTGCAACCTACACCAAGCGTCATTAGTAACATACTTCGATTCCACTTTTATTATCTGGAGACTGGACAACTTTGAATAAGGATCAATGGGTAAATTATGAAATGGGAATATTCGAACCGGAAATAATGTGCATTTTTTTAGATAATTCATTGTGATTTAAATTAGTGAAAAACGATGAAGATATAATACAAATATTATATATGTTGCATGTCATTACCTTCTCAAGCACTATCGCTATCATTAATGATTTTTCTTTTAGTGAATGTATTGTGTTATCACTGTTCTTCTAGTCAGACTGAAGCATGTCACCGATAAAAATGTCAGACAAATGAACTACTCTATTTTGATATCTTTTAGCCCTAAAGTCTACATTTTCTGGTAGTGATGTTATAGTTTAAAATTGATTGCAATGAAATACTTTGAAGCTTTAATGTCAAGTACTGTTTCCGATTGGTGTTCCTCAACCAATCAAAAATCAGTGATGTTCATTTAAGGATAAACTAAGTTTATCTTTTGGTTTAACTCGGCAAATATTTGTGATTTTCATTGGATAATGGATAAGGCACGTTATCAATGCCAAATTCCTCCACGATCAAATTTAAAATAAATGTACTTTATATATCTCTTATATTTCAATACCTCAGAATGTCTAAAGACTGTAAACAAGAGATCAAATCAGAGCAAGTGGAGAACCCAGAAAAGTCAAACGGTTTCCTCTGCCCAATGTGTGGAGCACATTACTTTTCAGAAGACTACTTTGTTGAGCACATCAAAGAACATAAGCTAAGCAATATCTAATTGTTCAATAAAACAAGAACTTACATCTGAATCAGATAAGCCATTTGTTTTTATCTGTCCAGTTTGTGCTGATCATGTTTACTCAGACACTCAGTTAATAGAACATGTAAAACAGCATCATAACCATAGCAGCCCAGAAGTACCTGACTACTTTGATAATTCAGATAACTTGACTGGAACAGATCCTCAGAGGACATTAGTTCTGTCTCCTAGTAATAGTCTGCATGTGAGACCATTTAGGTGTTCACAGTGTACATTCAGTGCAGCATATTCGAGTTATCTTTCTGTACATATGAGAACTCACTCTAGAGAAACCCTTCAAGTGTTCTGAGTGTTCATTTGCTGCAAGACGAGCAGGTGATCTTACTGTACACATGAGAATTCACTCAGGTGAGAAACCCTTCAAATGTTCTGAGTGTTCATTTGCTGCAAGACGAGCAGGTGATCTTACTAGACATATGAGAACTCACTCAGGTGAGAAACCCTTCAAGTGTTCTGAGTGTTCATACGCTGCAAAACGAGCAAGTAATCTTACTAAACATACGAAAACTCACTCAGGTGAAAAATGTTAACTTTAAATGGATCACTATGCAATGAAACACACCAGTTGTTACAAGTAATTATCAAACCCCACAGACAACATGTTTGTGGTACATTCTGAAATAGAACACAATTAGTATATATTATATCGACTATCATAAATATATAAACCAAATATATAGCAATTCACAATCTCCCGTTCTTTCTTAAAAAGGCTTTGAAAGATTTAAAATATTAAATATAAAATAAAGGTGTCACAAGAAAGACTATAATCTTTCTAAATATAACTTCCCTCTTTGTGGATACATGCACAACATGTAATAGAAAATCGTTTTAAACGAGCACATTATATAAATCACAAATACCAATATATTCACTCTTTTAAACGAGCACATTATATAAATCACAAATACCAATATATTCACTCTTTTAACTTCTTTAAGTTTCAAATTATTAAGATTATTAAAATCCTTCACACACAATATTAAAAACTTTGAATACAATGTTTATTATTGGAATACAATTCTAAACAGTTCATTGTCAAATTCTCCTGACGACAATACCTCCCGTAGCAGTGAAGTTGGAGCTCCAGCTTTAGTCAAACAATCTGCAAGCTGTTTCTTTGTTGAAATCCAACGAACTGTCATTTCACTATTGTTCACTCGCTGTCTCAGGCAAGCTATTGGTATCCTCAATCCCTTGTCATCAACATTTTTCGAGGTTTGGATAGCATCATGTAGAGACTTGCAATCAGTCATTACAATGACATCAAGTTTTCCAGATAACATGATCTCACTCAGCTGAGCTTGGATCAACTCACATGTTTCCACTGCTTCGATCATTGCCCAACTCTCCGCTGCTTAAGTACTTTTACATACTCTCCGGATTTTTCTACTCTGCCATGTAATGGGGCAAGATTTTCCTGTAAGCGAAACAAGGAAAATTATGAAGCCTCCCTGAGAGCTACCATCCTTCAAGTTTCCATACGATGCATCACAGAAAACCACTAAGACTGACTCAGGCAACAGTAGTTTCTTAAACCTGAGTGTTAGAGGATTCTTTTCTAAGAACTTTACTGTTTTGTTTACCATTTTCAAATCTGCGATGGTCCCTTCAGTCACAGAATTACTAGCAAAACATGTAGCATAAGCTACATCTGGCCGTGTCTGTGTTGATACCCACAACAACTGTCCGCACACAGTTCTCAGTTGTTGCTTTTCTTTCTCGTTGATTGGGAGCGTATTTCGATTCACTCGGGTCGGGTCGATCTCTATTCTTGAAATCTGGTCTGCATACCCCAGTTGTGATACCAGAATTCCAGATTGTGTTTGCTTTACATCAAGACCAGTATAAGCAAATTCAACTTCGACCTCCGTACTTAGACGAAACTTCTTCTTCAGTTCCCCAATAACTTCCCTTTCAAACTTCTTGCTTCCACTGAACATCAGATCGTCAACATGCACAGCAATGATACCCTCGAGTTTTCCTTCATCATACCAGAACATGAATGACTCATCATATGACGATACCACAACATTTAACTTCACTAGAGTATCACGAAGCTCAACATACCACATTCTAGGTCCGTCTACTAACCCGTAAATACATTTGTTCAGTTTCCAGATTTTCCTCGTTTCAGCTTCCTTCGGAGGAATAATGAAGACATCTCTTGAAATCTTCTTGCCTTGCAAGAAGGCAGCCTGAACATCGATGTGTTGTAACTTCCAACTTTCTGTTGCAACTATTGTAAGGAGCAGTCTTATAGAGTCCCTGTTACATGTTGGGGAGTCCTTTCGTATGTTGCTACTATTTTCTTGATAACCAAGTGCCACTAAACGAGCTTTAACAGAACCTTCTGCTTTCTTTGTAATTACCCAACGAACACCAACATTGGACTGTTCGTTTGCATCAACTTCCACGTAAACCTTGTTTACTTTGAACTTCTCAAGCTCTGCTAGCTTGGCATCTACAACTGCTTGGTCAATGGTCATACATACTCACACTGGACAGCAACACCTCTTCTTCTGTTTCTGGTGACAGGTCATCTCTCCAATTCACAGCAAGCTCATACCAATCCACACATTGGATGCTCTCCTCACCATCAAGTTGAATATTTACACAGTTTTTGTAACTGCCAGTTGATTTTCCCGCACGGCTATGGATATAAGCTTTATGCCAGATCCCACCATCCTCCTCTGGATACTTTGGAAGAAACTCCACGTGACTTCTTGCTTTAGGAAGTCCTGATTTGTGCTGAGGTCTGATTGTTGCTGTTGTCTCACTTTGAGGCAGTGTTTCTGTTTCCGGTACAGAAACTGCTGTTTCCCTAGAGCAAGATGGTTGATCCTCTAGGAAATTTCTCTGCGTCTCTAATAGAGATTTTGGTGAACTTGATACAATACTCGGGTTAGGTTGCCCAACAACTGACTCTGAGGTAATGGGATATCCTGTTGTTGTATCCCTGGTTAGATGACATGCACTGCACTTATAATACTGATTTCCATGCTTTAAAATATACAAATGAGTAATGTCTCTCCCCAGTATAACACCTGGCCCACTCCATTTTGCAGATCCTTTTCTCTTGTACATCACCTTTTCACCGTTGCTATAATACTCATCATTGCTTGTCCGAACTTGGCTTTGCAGAGCTCTACGTATCTTGTTGCTACTTTCACACTTTGCAAATGCTTGCCTTGCACTGTGCATTGCATTAACATTATCAGCCACGGTTTTACTCACCGTTGTTTCTTCTAAAGCTGGCAGTCTATCATCGATGACATTCGGAAGTGAAGGGTTACGGCCCATTGTCAACTGATTTGCAGAAAACCCACCAAACATCTGCATGGAGTTTTTCGCACTTAGTGCCCAACACAATGCAACTTCCCAGTTGCATTTTGAATCTTCCTTCGTTTTTACCATCATCTCTGTCAGCATCTTATGATGACGTTCTACAATCCCATTGCTCCAAGGGCTCTCGGCAGCTGAATTTTGCACATCCACATTGAATCTTTGACACATCTCAGTAAACTCCTCATTGGCGAACTCTCCACCATTATCAGCCATGAATTTCTTTGGATTTCCAAAGATGGATATCCATCCAGAGCAAATTCCTTGGATGATTGTCTCTTTCTTCTTATTGTAGATTATTCTAGCTGCTGAATATCTTGTCACCGAATCAATCATATGCAAGATATACACATTAGGAGTGCCAGGAACATTCTTAAGGTCCATTGCAACACATTCGTTGAACACCTTTCCTCTTGGGAGACCCACCACTGGTCTTGACTTGGGTTTCTTGTACATCAGACATATTTTACAACTGCTGGATACCTCATCAATTGCTTTCATGTATTCTGGTCTCTTAAATCCTGCAGTTTTCAGCAATGTTTTCAGTTTATCACTAGGAGGGTGTGAGAATTGTTTGTGGATTTTTTCCACTTTCCTCCTTATCTCCTTTTCGTCAGTACCAAACAAACCTTCTTCGCTGATTGTCATCACCAGATGTGGGGTCTTTCGATCTGGCGGCCCAATGGTCATGCGTCTTTTATTACAAAGAGGAACGCAATAGTGCTTTGATTTAGTTTCAAACAAATCAACACAATCTCCACTGAATCTCATTGTATCATTTGTGAAATCCAACACAGCACCAGCTCTCTTTAACGATGATTTACTGAGAAGCAACGGCAGTTCTTTCTCAACAATGTTTGCTTCTATCCGAACATCTGTCTTTCCTATTCGCCCAGGGATGATAGTCTTTTCTGTGGAAATGACTTCGAGTCCATCCCCAAATCTAAAAGGCGTCGAGCAAGGTTCACTAACCATCATTTTCAGTTGTTTTTCTTCCAGAGTTTCTCTGTAGTGATTCACCCAGTTCCTACCAACAACTGTCTTTGTACATCCGGAATCAATAACTGCACATGCTAATGACTCATATACAAGAGAACCAAGGTTCGTATCACTCATCAGGCACTCTTCAGGAATCTCAACAACATCTTCAGATTCAGACACCACCATGAATGTTAAGAATGCACCCTCTGCTTCCATGGCCGTAACATTCTCAGCACCATCTATATCTTGTGCGAAATACTGTGCATTATCTGTTGAACTTGAAGAAGCTCTGTTCTTGCTTGTGCACCATCTTGCAATATGGTTTTTATCGCCACAAGCATAGCATCCAGTATATGCACTCTTTTGTCGATTATACGGATGATGATGATTCCCACGTCCTCTTGACATCCTTCTGTAGTTTCCTCGTCCACCTCTTGGGGTTGAGTTGTATGTATAGTTACATTCCTCATGTTCCACCTTCACTGATATTGACGCAGGCGGTGTGAAAAGGTTCGATTGGACGGAGAAGATTTTTCCGATCGTTTCACACATATCTTTATAAGTAAGATCCTTTACAGTTGCCAAAGCGAGATCATATTTTTCTGACGGAAGGTTAGCGCTGTTAAGGAATCTGTAGGCCAGGACTGCTTCAGGAAGAGTGATTTTGTGTCTCCTGAGATCCGCTAGCAACTTCTCAAACTCAGATATGTAACTCTGTAGAGACAACCCTTCTGGTCTCACATATTTTTCAAACTTACCGTAAACTCGGTAACAGGTTTGAGCTGAGTCCTCTAAATATATTTTGTCAAGATGACTTAAAATCTTCGCTATTGCATCCTCTGCAATTAGGACATCTTTCCCCAATGATCGTACTGTATCCTTTATCTTCCCTTGTTTCAATTCTAAGAGCAACGCAGTTCCTTGTCTCTTTTTCTCTAAACCCGTGAACTCTTGCCACAGCTGCAGGTCTAACTTCCAATTGCAGTAGTCCTGATCCTCACTGTATGCCGGTGGGGCTTTGTAATTACTAGTTACTCTAACTGTCTCTGGGGGTGCCATTGCGTCCTTCTCTGCTACCACTTGTTAACTTTAAATGGATCACTATGCAATGAAACACACCAGTTGTTACAAGTAATTATCAAACCCCACAGACAACATGTTTGTGGTACATTCTGAAATAGAACAGAATTAGTATATATTATAT